GTGCTCTGTGAACACAAATTAGTTAGCATAAATCAGTTAAATGACTAAAAATTAGATGTCTATTTACTTGTGACCACTCAGTGTATATACCAGTGTCAGCAAGCCAAATTTTGAAATCAGTTTTGGTTTTGGTTCAGTATAACAGACTATAGATAAAGCTCAAACGTACAGAAGAGAATGATTCTCGTGTTAGATTAGTATTTCTGCTGCTGTGCCAGAAAAAGATAAATTATCGAGATCTAACGATACGTAATTTTTTATATTTGTTGGAGTATGGTACCGAAAGAACGTCATTTTCGTGTCTCTGTTACTAAGCTACAAAACCAGTGAAAAATGTGTTACAAAGTATTACTATTCCACACTTGAAAGGTTCCTAATAAACATTTTAAGAGAAAGCATGTGCACTAAATCGTCCTAAGCCAACGTATTGCATATCGAAAACTTTTCAAAATGTCTACGTATCACATTATCGAAGATATTCTGTTAATATGCTGACTTTTAGTGACACGTTAAATAAACCGTTAAACTTCACTTTAGTGTAACAAATATAACGTAACATAGTTGGATGGAACTTCGACACGCATGTGTTGAATATTCTGGAAAATCATGTATCTCTGCCAATCTTAGGAAAATATTTCGTTTGAATGTTTAAATCCGAAAACAATTGTTTTTCAGAAGAATATGTTTGATTCATCTTAATAATACTTAAACGTAACGTTCTTTATTTTTTTCAGAGCTTTCGTTTTGTGTACCAGAATCCAGGGTTTATTTCATTTCTTCCTGTTGTCCAGTGTCGAGATTTATCTTGTACTTTATCCACTATAATGATGAATGAATTGAGTTATTTTTGTGAAATATGTGCCAAGGTTTTCACTGGTCCTGTCCCATACAAACAACATTTGCAGAGTGAGAAGCATGGTAAGAAACTCGAAATGGTTCCTGACAGGCAAGCTTTAGTCAAAGAAGCTGCGTCGAATGACTCACTATTTCTCAAAACTGAAACTAAAAACGTCGATCTTTCACAGTCCGAAAAATGTCTTTGTGCTTTTCACACAAGTCAGAATGACGAAAAAGAATTAAAGGAGAAATGTGTTGAGGTAATTGCACAACTTTCCAAAACTGAAGGCTCTCCAAGCTCGTCTGCTCTATCTCCTGAAGTCATTGAAGATTCTAAAAGCAAAGAAAAGGTTCTTGACAAAAATATTCAATTGAGGCTAGAAGATTTCATCACTAAAGAATTTCGAAACTGCTCTTTCGTTTGTAAGTACTGTTCAGTAAACTTCACGGGTCCAGAATGCGCTAAACAGCATTTCAAAAGTCCTAAACATTTGAAAAGAATACAAATGCTAGCTTTTGCTGAAAAGTTTAAGAAAGCATTTGCAACAGATTCTATTGAAGAATCTGACAATGAAGTCAGCGAGAGGAGGTCTGATGTTGAAACAAAAGAAAAAACCCTCGAGTTGATAGAACAGCCTGAAGGGGATGAAAATAACTCAGAGACACGAAATGAAATACCGAAAACAATAATATCTCAATCAATAAAAGTGAATGATCTCAACCGTTGTACGAACGTAGAAAGTTCAACCTCAGATTGTTTCGAAAAACAAATCAATAAAGTCAGTGTTCATAGATGCACCGGCAAATATTCTGGAGATATTAGAGCTGAGCTTAAATGTGAAATCTGTAACATTTCAAGCTTCTGTGACATCAAGGAGGCATTCAGACATTATGAAAGTGAAGAGCATGTATCCAAAAAAAGAGCCTCCATGCATTAAGAATTGTGTCTAATGAATGATAATTTAACGGTAAGCAAAAAAAATTTAAAACTTAATTGATGTAATATGTTATTACTTGTTTTATTATACACCAATTTATAAAGGACTTTAAAGCTGCCTAATAAACTCAAGTACTTAGCTTTGCTTTTGGTGCTTTACCGAAATAAACTTATGATAAAACTTAGTGATGCTGTGAAATGTTATTAATTTAAGTTGTAGTCCTCAGCAAAGCTGGTAGTGTTATGATCTTTGATGCTTAAAGAGATTGGATATATTTCCTTGATATTTTAGGAAAATCATAAATGTGTGTGTGGATATATATTATCATACATTAGTCCTAAGTATAAAAATGGATCAAAATATATAATTGTGAATTCTGTAAAGCACATAGCTTATAAATAGAATAACAATAACACTCAAATAATATTTTGTAGAAATTATCAACATTTACTCACAACGTATAAATATACTGATGCGGTAAAATATTTTTTTTCGCTTCCAATTATTATCCTTACGTTTCAATCAAAATTACGTATAACAACTCAAATTAGAACATATTCATCCATGTAAAGTATATAAGTAATAAAACTGTATCAACTATACGAAGGACTTATTATTCTTATTATCTATTGAAATATTAGCAGATATATCTCGATAAGTTAAAATCAAATTTTTCTGAGCATTCATGAATAAAAAAAAACAAATTCAATTCTATACTTTTCAAACGTTCCAATACTTTCAAATCATTACAGTTACATTTGAAAAAATATTTGACGTCCAGGAAACATTATGTTTGCTTTTCTTCGTGTTCATTGTTTTATTGATCCAAAACTATTCCTTAAGATGTTGTCAACTGTTTTATTAATCACTTAACTTTTTCAAGTCTACTGTTTAAGTAAGAAAACCCTGAGTGTAGATGCATTATGTATTTCCGATTACAAAGGCATTGTTAGCATAAAAATTACACCAAAACCTTCTATGCTAACGAGTGTCGCCTCCAATTATATTTCTTGAATATTAAACTAATCTGGAATTTTACTACTAAAAATAACTTGAATTTACAAATATTGCATGTAAAATGTATTTTGAACAAATCTTTATGAAACCATTAAAACAAAATGACAAGTGAAAGATTTGTTATTAAGGCCCATCAAAGTCAGCAAATATTTCTCACAGCAATATAAAAGTTGTCAAAAACCGAATAATAACAGTTTCTAAGTATTGCTTATTCCTATAGAATAATAACAGTTTCTAAGTATTGCTTATTTCTATAGAATATATCAGTTTCTAAGTATTGCTTATTTCTATAGAATGATATCAGTTTCTAAGTATTGCTTATTTCTATAGAATAATAACAGTTTCTAAGTATTGCTTATTTCTATAGAATAATAACAGTTTCTAAGTATTGGTTATTTCTATAGAATAATATCAGTTTCTTTTACTTTCTTCAGGAAACGCACATTTATTCTAAAGGTTAACAGAATAATAAAAATTTATTTTAACGCTTTTTTTTTGCAAAGCATGTTTATTTGTTCTAACAGAAAACGTGTTTATTTGTAGAGTAACAACAGACAAAAATGTTTACTATTTGTGTACAGAAAACGTGTTTATTTGTATTAACAGAAAACGCATATAAAACAAGGATAATTTTTCTTCTACCAATCAAATGAAATATCTTTTATTGTCAACTAGAAACATATTTCTTCTAACACACTATATAATAGCTACAATTAATTCGGTTATCTACAGAAAACGTTTTTTGTTGTTGTTTTGTTTTAGTAATATTGGTGTTCCAACCATGTAAGTAACAAATATGCAACATAACTAATATAAGCTATTTTTGTTTCCAGCGTCTGCCAGTAGACTACCTCAAAATAATAATGCATTGTATTGGTTCGCTGGATTTCAAATTCATATCTGAAAAGTGATACCTTTCTACTGTCATTTGTAGCTGGTATAGAATTAGAAATGTTGAATATATTTCTTTCGTGTGTTCAGCTTCTTCGAACAAGCATCACAGTTGTATTGTAATTTTATTCACCACTTCTAGTCCCTTATTGTTTACGTTTTTGGTCTATAAAGAAAATGTTTCTCTATAGTTTGTAATTTAAGAAATATTTGTTTCCAGAAGTTCTGTAATTACCGAAATGTATATATATATATATGTTGCAAAATACTACAATCATAAACTCTTCTTTATTATTTTCTAATGGTTTCGTGACTTCAGAGGTCACTCTTGTTATGTAACATAAGTTTCACATTAGATTTCCTGAAAAAAATCAATATATATACAATATATGTATTTGGATCCGTGGTGAGCAGATCACAGATAGCCAATTGTGTAACTTTGTGCTTAATTACAAACAAACAAACAAAATTTAGCAGTGAAAGACTACAGGGAAAGGCAGCTAGTCATCATCACCCATCGCCAACTCTTAGACTACTCTTTTACCAACGAATAGTAGAATTAACCGTCGCATTATAACGCCCGCACGGTTGAAAGGGCGAGCATGTTTGGTGGGACGGGATTCGAACCCGCAACACTCAGATTGCGAGTAACCTGGCCATGATTTATGGGGATACCTTATATAGATGAGGGTAAGAGAGCAGAAGTAACAGCAGTTGAGTATGGTTAGTTGGAATTATGTATCGGTGAAATCTATGACTAGGATTTACAAAATAAATTAAAATAAGTTAAGTAAGAGGTATGTTTTATATCAAACGTTAAAGAGTTTGGAAATAAACTGCTTTTATATAATGAGCGGGGAAAATATAATTAAAATAATGTTCCAATCAAAAGAAAATTGATAAAGAAATAGATTGTTTGTTTGTTTGTAATTAAGCACAAAGCTACACAAAGAGCTATCTGTGCTCTGCCAACCACGGGTATCGAAACCCTGATTCTAGCGATGTGCCACTGTGGGGCTAAAGAAAAAAAGGAAAGTTTTTGATAAGCCTAAACTGATTTATTTTTTAGTACATTGCGATTTATTTAACTTAAATAAGGATTGTATTTTATCTTTGTACAAAATATGTCTTTAGTTCAGGTTATTTGTGTTTAGTTGAAAATTTGTATTTATTATAGATTACCTATAAAATAATAAAGAAGAGAAAAACAGAAGAGATTGAGAATTGTAGTGTTTTGTTATTTGCATCTATTGTTTCTACTTGTTCTAATACTATGCCAAAGGTAAAACATCTGAAGCAAAGTTACGGCGTGATAATATCGCCCTTTATACGTGCGAAATATGAATGGGAGCCAAAGATGGTTCCAAAAGCTTTTTCAGCTTTTTATAGTATGTCTTGACTGTCTTACACGTTCCATGTTGATATTCACAACTGGATACGGGCGAAAAGCAATGACTTAATTCCTTGGCTCATGTTACAAAAAAAGAACAACAACAACAAAATATTTCAAATATTACGTCTGATTACCAAGGTAAGATGATACAAGAATATATCAGACATTTAGATACATTAAGTATTTTCTGAATTATATGTGAGGGTTGTGCACCTATTACAGTTATTAGTTTCATCAACCCTTTACCTAGCCATGTCCATTCATATACCACGTATAGCATTTTATGTCTTAATATGCTTTTCGTAGCTTGGTGTGTATAGTCCTACACATGACAAATAGTTCCATATATCTAAAGTACATGTTAACTGGGGAGAAGTACTTAGACATATTTCATCATATATGATATCACGAGCCAGTGACGTCAATAGCTCATTCGTATTCAGATTTTTTGAAAAATAATTATTTGAGAACTGTAAAAACCTGTCGTTTGTTGTCTGTATAAATGCGTATTTGTGAAGGAAATATGAGCTTGTGGTTTTTGATCCTTTATATATATATTACAGTGAGTATCAAGGGTTGTATTGGTTGTAATTGTTTTTTGTTTATTATGTTTGGTGAGATGTTCATCCATGCTGGACTGGCATATTCAATTATTGGTTGTATTTAATGTGTTTTAATAATAACATTTTTATAATGTTCTGTGGTGAGATTCCAGAGCTGTTACCTAACAGGCTCTTGATTTCTTTGCGCGTCTCCACATTTTAGTTCGGATCTAGTTAATATGAGTTTTGCAATTAAATTTGAGTCATGTGTAACATCCGGGAATTTAGCCGACGTGGCAATCTGGAGGATTGGTTCCATTAATATACATTGGTGGGTTTCTTAGAACTTTTGTTGTTTTTTTGGAAAATAAGACTGTTTGCATTTTAGGGACGTTAATTTTAATTCTATGTTTTGACAATATTCTATTATTTGATTGTTTACAGGTTATAGGTTTGTAGCTGCTATAGCTAACCAGCCCTCCCTGGGGGTGATATAATCAGTTATAAAGCTTGTTTCGTTGTCTTGGTTTCATTGTATGTTTAGATTGTTGTGTATGTGTACTGGGAAGGTGTATGTGTGTGTGTGTGTGTAGCACTTACATAATTGAAGGGATATTGGTACATGTCTGTTTCGTTATGTGTTTTGAGTGTATTCTATAGGTGGTTTATGAAAGCTTTAGCTTCCTGTGCGTTTGTGTATGCTGTGTCGTTATTGTATATTAGTGTGGGATATGTGTTTTGTTTGTTATGGCTGTTTGTGCATTGTTTTAAGCGTTTCCAAAATAGTTTCGGATCGTTATAGTCATCTAATTTTGTGTAGAAATTGTCCCACCTGTCTCGCTTTAGGATGCATATTTCATTTCATATTATATTTTTCAATGTATTGATTTGCGTTTTAAAGAGTGGGTCTCTCGTGTTTATGTACTGTCTCCGTAGTTGTCTGCAATTTTTAATCATGTTTATTACATTCGTATTTGCTTGCCAGGTATTTTTTGTTGTCGGTGGTGTTTTGGTATTGTCTTACAATGCTAAAAATCCGGGATTAGATTTCCATTGGTGGACAGAGTGAAGATAACGCATTGTGTAGCTTTGCATTTAAAACTACAAATCACACGTAAAACGTTCTCATAAATAATTCAAAACTTTGTATAGTAAGGCTATCAGAAAGATGTTTTAAAATTTATCAT